TTTATTGTAATTAAGATTATAACACAATGTTGACTGCTGTACCACTATTTTTGACCTTTGTATCTATTATGTCTGTTTGTTTTGTTCACACATTGTTGTCAATATAATGGAATTTTATGCGACTGTCATACACGTTAGATGTTTAGCTAGCTATAACACCAGGTTTAATCCACCATTTTCTACATAAGGAAATGCCTGTACCAGGTCAGGAATGTGACAGTTGTTTTTCATTCGTTTAATGTGTTTGAGCTTTTGATCTCGTTCTGAACATGCATGAAATATTTGCCACTGGACGTTAAGCAACCAACAATCAATCAATCAATCAATTGATTTTGCCATTTGATAAGGGACTTTCCGTTTTGAATTTTTATTGGAGTTCGATATTTTTGTTATTTTACTTTTTATGTTAGGTTAAACACAAACAAACTGACGGAGAAAAAAAAAACAAGCTTATCAAATAAGTAAACATCAAAATACTAATGTATGTAATCTCCAAATAAGCTCAACCATTACAACACAGAAATCCCGAGGTCATGGCTAGTAAGATACAATACTATAGTTCCTATATAGTAAGTATCTCTATTTCCGTTCAGAAATAGATCAGAACCAATGTCATTCATTCATTGTTATAATTTGTAAGATACAATATGTTACTCCCGTATAATTCCATTCACAAATCAGCAAATCAACTACCTTAACGACTAGATAATATTGAACCCAGGAAATGTATAACATCTAGAGCTTGTACAATACAATAGGGTAAATCCCATACACAAAGACAAAGACAAGATATCCTTATCAGAAACATTATCTAATAAGTTAACTTTGGATGTAACACGTCTTCTGATTAGCTGAAAGTATTTTGTCTATCAGCTCATAGACATAATTTTGTCATGTGACCGCGACGTCACCTACGTTTTTTTCAAAAGTATTACTCCTTAAAATGGAATTTAGAATTAAATTATAAGGAATAACTGTAATAATTTTTCTGTCTATTCGAAATAACATCAAAAATGTGGTGCACATTTTTGATGTTATTTCTTCATAGACAGAAAATATTTTACAGTCATTCCTTCAATATCAAACTTTCCTAAGGTAAAGTACCCATTTCAAAATTAGTATTTAAAATCTTGTAATCCGTAAACAATATAAAAATAAGGAGATGAGGTATGATTGCCAACGAGACAACTATCCACCAAAGTTCAAATAAAGTGGATGTAAGCAATTATAAGCAACCGTACGGCATTCAACAATGATAAAAAAAAAACCCATATCGTATAGTCGGCTATAAAAGGCCTAGACAAGAAAAATATGAAATAATTCAATTCAGAAAGCTAACGGTCTAATTTATAACGAAAACAATTTACGAAAAACAAATATGACAGACATGAACCAACGACAACCACTGAACTACAGGCTCCTGACTTGGGACAGACACATAAAGAATGTGGCTGGGTTAAATATGTTTGTAAGCGCTCAACCCACCCCCTAACCTGCGACAGTGGTGTAACAGCACAACATAAGAACAAACTATAAAAATCAGTTGAAAAGGCTTAACTCATCAGATCGAAACAAAGCAGAAAAACATCAAACATAGACACAGACCGGACGTGGCAGGGCATTTATCCATCCTTCATCCCCAACCAAAAAAAGGACACTAAGTACAGATCTGAGAGTACTCGCAGTTACTGACTGACAGCTAATTCAAAGCAAATAACAACTAAAAACAAATCATAAGACTAAAATATCAATCAGTACACATCCAACATCCAATGGATTAAGTGTAGAGACGGCATTAACAGTCAGAGTAAAACATGACCTTGTGCAATTTCAACATTACAAAACAAATGGAAAATAACAAGAACAAAAGCTTGAACAATGTCACACCCATCATATCACAGAAATAGACCACTTTCGAGTTATGTCCTTCACCGGAAAAGTTCGTCAATTATGCGCACTTTTTTTTATGACACCGTGTACCAGATAAAGGGGACCGTCTGTATCCCTGCACTATTAAAGTTCATCAAGCGTTTTCGTAATCGTCATCATATAGGATAATACACCATAAAGCGTTGGACTATTAAATTTTGATGTACAGTGAAGCATTTAATCTGGTCAAAAATCTAAGTTGACATATATATATATATTCAACCGTTTTTTTTCGTAATGAACATGTGTAATAGATGTCAAATAGAAGTGACTACAAACCCATAAATTTAACCCACCTTCAACTGAATCTTTAACTTCGGATACGGAACGGACAGACGCACGAAAAATTCTGGTAAACATAATGTCCCTCTTATTATCGTAGTTGGGGCCACAAAAATGTTGTCTGTCACACAAGTTACTAATAAGTAAGCGTTTGGAAAGGCCCGACTGTTCATAAAGCGAGCTGAGTGGAACTTAAAGTGTCATTTTTGTCCAATTTAGATAGTCTGATATAATGAATAGTTTTAAATGCATTGTCTTTTGTCCATTTCTTACTAAATCTTCTATTCAGTTGAGACGCAAAATAAATATTGGGATATGTCAAAATAAATGATTTACACCATGAAATCCTCAGCTTCTGGGGACATTTTTGCCTACTTTAACTTTTGTTATCTTGCAGTTTTGTGTGCTTTCTATAGAAATGTTCACATATTTTGAATGAATTCAATCAGTATTATTTCTGAAAATAAAAGAGATACATGCATTATTTTTTCGATTTTCAATTATAGTTCAAAGGGCCAAAGTTATACTCAAATCTTTGACATAAGCCATTTACCGTTCCTTGACATTAAAGAATTATTTGAATTAATGTTAATGATCTAATATATCTATTTTTTTCTTTTATTTACCAGGAAATACATGACTATATGGTATGGGTTTTTCTCATTGTTAAAGGCCGTACGGTTGCATATAATTGCTTACATCTACTTCATTTGAACTTTGGTGGATAGTTGTCTCATTGGCAATCATACCTCATCTCCTTATTTTTATATGAATATGATATATCATTAAAATCCAAACACATACACAAAATGAACATTAATATTTCTTCACATCTCATAGTTTTATATCAAGTTTTGTCAGAATTCTCCTTTATTTGAATTATACTGCTTTGAATAGTCAATAGCTTTGCCATTTACCAAAAACGGTTTAATTTCCATTTCTATTTGATATTCCTTGAGTAGATTATGAAGTTCGACTTCGCTTTTCTCATAAAATTTTCTCAGCAATGTCTTTGTACTGTTAAACATTGGCAATACCTTTGATTTGAAAATTGGCGCGTACAATTTCTGCCTACATGAAATCTTAGTGATGGTGGATTCATCTACAGAGTCTGAAAAATATAATTTGATTAAGACTACAACTTCTCCAGGTCAAACGATTAAACCAATGGAAAACTGTTCATAAAACAAATATTAAAATTCTTTTAGCTTTACTGGTTATTCCCTTTTTCGGAATCTAAAGGACTATGAAGAGGGTGGTAAAGGGTTATTTTCGTGCAACGTGATCGCCGTTTTTTATTTCACGTTCAACGTGTTTTTACTTTTTTATTTAACGTTCAGTCGTGCAAGACAGGTGCCTCGTTCAACGTGTTCTGCTTATTTAATTTTACGTGCATCGTGATTTTCAAATGCTTATTTTGCGTGCTCGGTATTTTTCAAATAAAATTCAAATACTTGGCAGGGATCGTCAAGAAATACTTTTTTAAAAGCCGTAAACCATTTACATCATAAATGTGTATACTAAATCGGAAATAACAAGTAAAACAGAGAGTTTATATATACAAGAAGACAGTGACTCAGTCACAAAAAGTTCACAACAGTCTTTATTTTTCGTGCAACGTTCATGACAGAAATTATTTCACGTTCAACGTGAAATTATGTCTTATTTCACGTTTTTTCCGTTCAAGCACCCCCCTTTACCACCCTCTATGAATAATTTGATTGTTCGTACCAAAACAAAGATATTCCAATGGTGACTGGGGGATAGAAATATGGTCTCCATTGGTCTTCCTCCGACCGGCATTAAACCCTCGCCAAAGTAGGGCGTCCGTTTGCATGGCTATGCGGGATGTACAAGTTCACAGTCATCTCCGGTCAGAATGGGAACGTTAAATGCGATGCCTCGTGTATACTAACTTTAACACCAACATCTATTTCCGAAACTGTGTGATACACGATAGAAATACCACAAGACGTTATGTCAGATAAAATATAGATCCTCTGTCATTGCTTTGCTTTAAGGGTGTACTTAGAAGAAATTAAACAAACCTTAAATTTAAAATTGATACTATAAGTCGGATGAGCATTAGTTAAGGAACAAAATAAGCTAAAAATATTGATAGGTTATGGAGCTCCTTTTCGAGATATTTAATTCTAAAACAAATGGCGGGAAAAGGCTGACTCGGACTTTCACCTTATATTTCCATTGGTATTATTTGGGTCTCAAATCGGAAGAAAAGGAATCTAGAATCTGCATAAATTTGGTAAATGACCTTTTATGAGCTATCGAAGTCTTATATAAAAGGATAAATGGGTACTATGGTGCAAATATTTTACCCTGTATCGTAGGAAAAAAACCAAAGAGTCCGAACATCTGACAAACATTCCTAAACCTGACCTAAGTACATCCTCAAGGATCTGACAATGCTCCGTTTTATTTTGTTTAAAGACTTTTCGGGATACTCTGGTTTAGTGATAAAATGATATACACCTTCACAAAACTATAGACAGAAATTTCATTGGCTGAAGCTATAATACCAGAAAAGTGTTGTTAGATCATTGGAAGCGAAGCAGCTTGGAGACAGGATCTGTATTTAATTCAAATTGTAAGTAATAATATACACGAAAACTTTCGTTTTCTATTTCGAAGGAAAAGAAAAATACTTTTTTGATTCAATTTCAAGAAAGGCACCACAAACCTTTTCACCTGGTGACCATTTAAGAAAACACGTTAATATTAATTAAAGTTATTTTATACAATCTTTTATGTGTTTATTTAAGTTCCTAACATCAATACATACCAACATCTAGAAATTCAAACACTTTGGCCATTACCCCACCGGTATCCTTAATGTAGTCTTCGAACTTTATTATGAGAAACTGTTCCTTTTTAAATACTCTCAACCAATCTTTAAGAAATTCGTTATACAACCCTGCCACGAGAGGAAGCTGTAGGATATATTTGTTTTAATTAAGTATATGGTAAAACTTCATTATCTTAAAACACAATTTAAGGAAAACTACATGACTGTACAATTTTCTAGCCGTATTTGTACTTTTCAGAATTTTCGGTTATTGATACTTTTCAACTTTAGAATTTTGATTTGTTTTTTATTCGAGCACTACTGATGAGTCTTATTTAGACGAAACGCGCGTCATCCGTTCAACATTAGAATCCTGGAGTCGGTTTCACAAAAAAACTTACGCCTAAGATTGATCGTAAGTCATGAACAGTTCAGTATACTTACGATCAATCTTAGTCGTACGTTTTTTTGTGAAACCGACTCCTGGTATTGTTTTATGAGTTTGTATACTTAAAACTAAAAAATCGTGTTCTTTCATAAATATACAGTAATAACCTCTTTTTTTCTTAAATATTATTGGATTGCACGGCAAAAATATTGTAAGATAACAGTAGTAAATTTAATCCACATCTAATAAAAAGGAACATACATTTATGTTTGAGATCAATGATTTTGTTTAAACAGAGTCAACTGTACTTTAAAATGCTTACCCCAAAAAGGGTAATAATGGAATACTATGTAATGTATAAAAGAATTGATCAAAACGTACTATAGAAAATGCGATTTCATATACCCAGTTCCTGATGAACCAAATTATGAATGAAACAGTTGTTTTCCAGTCGTTCAGTTAGTTTATGAAGTCGAACGTTTGGGTTTTTATGGCCTTTTTAAATTTACCGCTAGGAGTTCGGTAATATTGTTATTAATTTTTTTCATCCAAACAAAGGACGAAATTGTTTTGCTTCTGTTAGCATTAGTTAATTTAAAATCAATTTTTTGGGGGGATGGGTGGGGGGACTAATTGCTCATGAAATACTGTTCCCTCTCGAGCATCTTGATACACACTTGGTATTATGTGAAGTTTGTTATGTTGAAATTTTTAGATAACTGTTAACTATTTTGTGTGGTATAATTTGTTTGACTAATGAATTTGGTATAGCATGTCTATATTTGCACCCCTTCCCATTTTCTTACTTTTTAAAGTTTTACTAAGAACAAGTGCATTAAGTAAGCGCTAGAAGATAACGGTTCTTGAACATTTTTATGTCAGTTTACCCTCTTGTCATAAAATATCCGCATTCCATATAAACAACCACGTATTCCGTACTCCCTGATGCATTTTATGTATAAGTCTATCGATGATTTGACATACTCATCGAATGTCTCTGGGTCGACCTTCTTGTCACTTATTCTTCTTATATACAAGTCATCCGGAATATTTCTATCTGCATCCAGTTCCCGGATAATAAATCTTTTGTCATGGATATAGTGACTGTATAATCTGAAATTTGCATTTAAAAAAAAAACAGACAAATCGATTTGGCATTTGGAACTTCTCGTTTTAAACTTTTCTCGATAATTTTTCCTCGAATGACATTTTAAATAAATCCGATAAGTAGTTTCTGGTTATTGAGAATTTTTTTTGTGATCATGTTACATTAAAAAAATATCTATGGCAACCTTAAGTTGATTTGTTAAAATTCAAAATTTACGTAAGAATAAAAAGAGATGTCAGACATTTGTCATTCAGACAGCAACACAACTACAAAAATAATCAAAATGAATGCCTGTTTTGAGTGTTATGATAGCACGAGGTAGAAACGTCATTTATCGATCATTTAACATTTGAGGAAATTATCTAAGGTAAACCTTAGATGATTTTTTATAATTCTAAGTTTACATATGAATGAAAGGAGATGTCTGACATTCGTTAAAAAGTCAGCAACCCAACGACAAAAATAACCAAGAGATATGCCTATATATACTTGAATATCCGAGATAGCTGACCAACTGAGACCTAAAATGAATAGTAAAGTCCACCTCTGATTAACGTTATAGTTTGTTATTCTCTGAGTTATGTTTCTTTTTCGCAATTTGAGTTGTTAGCGTATCTGATGAGGGGATAATAGACGTATTTACACTGGCATGCAGATGTGTCCGCCATTACTTTAAATCACACAAGTTCACGCAAAATTTGACATCACAATTTAAAAAATTAAAAAGTGATTGTTGCTTGAAGTCAGAAGGTTATTTCGAGACAAAATTCAGCTAAATACCAAAAATGTAAATACATTTATTTCTACGCTTTTGTAATTTGGGAAATGGGTGGTAAAGCAAAGAGGGGATGTGGGAAAAAGGGAATAAAACAGAGGGAATGTGGGATATAGGGCATAAAAAAGTGGGATCTGGTCAAAACGGGGAAAGAAGTGGGAAGCGCGAAAAAATTACAAAAAAAAGCGCAGTTTAGAAAATGAGCACCCAAATGTCACATCCATCTTGATGAAGGTTGTTCCTGGAATAAATGTGCCTACGAAGATCTGGATTTTAAACAACTACCCCAAGACTACTAGATAGATTAATAACCAACCTTTCTACTGGATCCCTGATCATAAGAATAATCTTGATATTTGGATTGATATGTTTTATTAAGTCTGGTGTGATATACTTTGGTGCAATGGACTGTGGATTATTCTGTGGTATATTTCGCCAGTCAAAAGCTTGCCAAAAATCCATGGAATCGGAATGACCTGAAATGAAAATTCTGTTGTAGCAAATAAGGTTGTGTTAAATTGTAGGAAATGATTTTCAGTTTTACTTAATATACAGTTTGCTTTTGCAAACAAATCCATAATGCCAGTGATTCAAAGTTTGTATCTTCAAATTTGTTTCCCTTCTTTTTGATGTAAGGGCATTTTTTTTTTTTTTTTTTTTTTTTTTTTTTTTTTTGTATAAACTGAACATTCAAAGCAGATAAGTGTTTACCTCAATTTGAGCTCAGTTATAATTTTTTGCTATCCCAATAATGTTTACCTGTTATTAGATCGTATTTATTTTCTTCCTTACTTCTGTTCTGTATTTGTTCAAAGAAGTTGCTAAAATCCGACAGAGTATAGAAATCGCCATAGTTGACAAGCCGCATGTCGAAGAAACCTAAATGGAATGAAAGATAAACATGTTGATTAGTTTTTCAGAAATCAATTATAGTACTTTTCAATATCGAAAATTCATTAATAAATATTAAAAAGTACGAGCTTATACATATGTAATCCAAGGAATTTGATACCGTCACTAAATTACAATGTTTATTTCAAAGTTAGAATTTTACCGAAAATGATTTAAATTTGTTAAAACCTAAACAACATTAAAAAAACCAAAAAAAAACATGTACAGGTAACTATACAAAAGACAATGGAGAGGCGAAAGATACAAAAGGGATAAACAAACTAATAAGTCGGAAACAAACTGACAACGCCATGACAAAAACAACAAACAACCAAAAGACAAACAACTGTACACAAAACACAAATTGAATATAGAAAACTTAAGACTGAGCAACACGAACCCCATCCAAAACATTGGGTGATCTCGGATCCTCCAGAAGGGTAAGTAGATCCTGCTCGTCACGTGGCACCCGTCACACAAATGTATTCATTATGTCAAGCACTAATTCGGTAGTAGTCTAGACAAAAACTATAAATATTGAATAGAGTTTTGAAGGACTACTAACTTGCAAAATATTCTTATAGCTTTTTACGTGAGCTTAGTTCACATGTTACCGACCATTTACTTAGTGTAAATTGTTAGAAGAATGTGATTAAAATTAATTCAAATATACAAAAATTGGCCTTCAATTCAAATTACACCAATTTGCAATAAGGCTCTATTGATACAATGATAATAACCCCGGACGGCTCAAAGCATATACTTTAAAATTTGTATTTACTGCTTATCCACTAAGCACGCGGCATTAAGGAGTAAGAGCAAAGACAGATCTGCTCGGAGTGAGAATAATATGTCCGGGAAGGATGATATGTATTCCTGTGGACTGTTACATTGTGAATTAGCACGTGGAAAATCCGGCTCAGTATGTCAGTCTATTGCAAAGAAGGGTTAATATTAATATTACATTAACAATGTTTTCGTCCTCAATGTGCATTTAATTTGTTAAACGTTAAACGGACATCCATCATCAGCATCTCTTTTTTGAATATCAGCAACCAGTTTTAAAAAAGATTTATGTTGAATATTACAGATTGAATAAGTTTCCTCTGTGCTATATCCAATCATTTAGACGTCACTTTAGGTATACAGACTTAACCAGTTGAAGGTGTCCCGACGTTGTTAGTTATAATACTTTTATTAGACTTACTAAGACCATATCGTTTCCATGACCAGAAATCAGTTTCCCTTGAGTGCGGTCCTGTATTTCCAGCAATTTTAGGGTGCATTAACATTCGATTATACAGATCTGCTACACCAGACCTACACACGCCTACAATTTGATAGTATGGTAAGCAGCGCATTCTGTCCTTCTGTTTCCAACAGGGATTTTTCATGTTTTCTAAAAACTTTGGTCTTTTCTGTAATTACAATATGATGTGTTTTTAATAAATAAAGATCGAATCGAAACATTTTATGATTAGGATAAGTCGAGACGTAGGAAGTTCATATTTCACTTCAAGTTTTCTCTAGTTCATAACGGACAGTTGCTAAGAATTTTAGCTTATTAATAAATAATTTTATATTGACCCAAACTAGTTACTAGGTAATTATGAAATGCTTATCCGACTGCAGCGAAAGGGTTCTTCATCATTTCCTGTAGGTTCCAACTTCCGAAGCAAGATCGTCCTTGTGTTTGCTTCGATCCTTGCTACGAAAGTGTCATGTTTGTGTTGCTCATTTTATTTTTATTGTATCTATATATTTTAATAGCTAACAAACAGGCGGAAGATACCACGGGGACACACAAAACTAATACGTCGAAGAAAAAGTGACATTGCCTTGGCAAAAAACGACAAAATGACGAACAAATCCAAAACCACGTGTACATAGAAAAGTGAAGATCGAGCAAAATTAACCCCACAAAAAAAAAACCATGCAGGGATGAACTAATGCACTCCGATAGGATGAGCAGGTCTTGCTCCACACATGGCACCCGTCAGAGATATGTTTTTACATACCATACAAAGAATGTCCTCTGCTAATCGTCCTGGATGTGATTCAGGATTGTAGTTTCCAGGACAACTGAAAGGGTAAGAAATATTTTCCATTTGATTGACGTCTGTATGGTATGTGTTCTTCTGTTTGGTATATTTTCTTTCGTCTGTCTTAGCATGTTCAAAAACTGGGTCTCGGTCTCCATTATTTGAGAATTCGTTGTTTAAGGCCCAGAACAAAATACAGATTGGCAGGTAGGATATTACACTTATGATCACTATCTTCTTTTTAATTCTAAAATTATAATAAAAAAGTAAGATATCTCAACTGCTTTCTCGGCATGACTTATCTTAAACCACGTACTAATATATAATAACCTGTGTTCATAGGACACCATGGCCCGCTCGCACTATTTTTTCTATATTCATTGTACCGTGATTTTGGGGTCAAAACCCTGCCTTTGTTACTATTTAATTTTAATAGTTAACACCATAATGAACATGAGTACTATATATTATAAGAATATAAATTGTTTTAACATCTATACATTTTGGATTTCAAGAATAAAATGTGCATGTTCCTCGTTTACTTCATTATTAAATCATAAAATGATATGACAACATTAACATATGCAAATCAGTAATGTTTGTCTTTTTGAAACACAAAAAAAGAATAACTATTTAGGTATATCATTCATTTCCGTCTAACTTTGGAAACAACGGTACCCTAACATCAAGGAATCGTCTCGGCATGAAAAATTCAAAACCAATACACAAAATAAAACTCAAATCAAATTTAAAAGACTGATTTGCATAAGCATTCATCACAAGCCTGTAATGTCGATTTCAAAAAGACAAAAATAACTGTCTCCACAACAAACAATCTATGTGTTACTATAACAGTACCTTACAATATAACTTGCATAATGAAAATTATAAGCGTGAGACTAGAGAAAGAATGAGAAGTCTCCATGAAAATGTGCTTGAACCCTGTAAAGATAAAGATCATAGCAGGAAAGAAACAATTCGTAGGTTTCGTAACTGTCATGTTTTAAAGCTTAGTTGCTGATTTTACCAACTAGATCCTTTAAATTTACTGGTATTCAAAATTACCTGTCTCTTTGCCGATGTTATAAAATAGTTTTGAATATATGAAATATATGCAACTTGAAGTTCAGTAAACTGTAACCGGACATTGATTCTAACTAGAAAATCTCAGTGTCTCCTCCGGGACTCGAACCCGAAACCTCTGTGCTTAAGAAATATATTTACTGCCTTACGACTAGTAAAGTATCTACTGTAGAAGGGATGCAATCCCGTCACACTTCCCCAAAATCAAGAGTCATCATACCACAATCACTCTCACAACACATACCGTGGTTATATTTCATCTCAAATACCATGGGGTTTTCAGTTGGGAGCCACATGTAACCGGAGAGCACGGTTGATTGATAATTGTTGGGTGCTTAACTTCCAGTGGCAAATATTTCATGCATGTTCAAAACGAGAACTAATTTGCAATAAATACAATAGGCAGGTCCTTTAACTAATAATAGTTGTGAAGGTCGGGGTAATTTACTGCTCTGGAAAATTAGGGTATATTGGATAGGGACAGAAATTTTGCCTAGCAACAGGCCACGTGAGGACCCCTCCAGAATTGTTGCAAGGGTTCTTAACGTGAAGAGAATCTGTCACTCTCTAGACAAAGGGCACCGAACATAACGTCCTCATTCTGACCAGATGTGGCTGCGTACTTGTACATTCTGCACAGCCCGGACGCTCCACTTTGGTAAGGGTTTTACTGCCAGTTGGAAGAAGATAAAGAGTGACCATATTTCTGTTCCCCAGTCACCCTTGGGATGGCCGGAGAGCATGATTCTAATTATAAAATCTCATTGTCTCATCCCGGACCACTGTGTATAATTTAGCGCTCTTACCGACTTAGCTAAAGCAGTGCTAGCTAGTACTTAGAAGTGCCGGAACCTCTGTGTTACAAGTCAGCGCTCTAATCGACTGATTTAAAGAAGTTACCTCTGTACATGTGTTACAAGTCAGCGATATGATCGACAGATTTAAAGAAGTTACCTCTGTGTTACAAGTCAGCGCTCTAACCGACTGATCTTAAGAAGAGCTTAGAAGTACCGGAACCTCTGTGTTATAATTCAACGCTATAACCGAATAATCTAAAGAAGTAACCTCTGTGTTACAAGTCAGCGCTCTAACTGACTGAACTAAATAATTTATCTCTGTGTTACAAGTCAGCGATCTAACCGACTGAGCTAAAGAAATTATCGATAAGAGCTTGTAGCAAAGAGGTCTTGGGTTCGAGTCCCGGAGGAGACAATGCGACTTTCTAATAAGACTCATGCTCTCCGGTTACAAAAAAATAGTCGACAAACAAAACTCACCCCATTTTAATCAGGTACATCGTAATGTCAGTAAACATATCAGTGTTATTATAGTTTTCTATTAATTATTATATTGCTTTTACATTTTTAAACACATGTGTTTGTCTATTAAACAGCTGTTTGACTTGTATTTATCGATTTGACTATAAGGAGAAGACTGTTACATGTG